CACCTCATTGCATTGAAGGCTACTCTTCAGCGCATTCCACTAACTTGTCTTCCTCTGTTCCTCTTTTTCCGCTGCATTGACGATCAAGTTTAATGTGGAAAACTCGCCTATTTTGCAATAGCGAGCAAGTCTAGATTTTTCGGAACACGGTTGATGATGACACGGGTAAAGATTTTACAGAGTTGTGACAGAAGACTGATGCGCAGATAATTCTGGAGGTCTTCGGTAAGGCTATTGGACCCGATTATTCTGCTTTGCTTGGAATGTTCCGATTTGATGCTGTGTCTGCCAGGACATCTGCAGCTCGAAATGTTCTTGAATAATCACTTTCCCTCACTCCAAGGGACAGTGGAAACGGTTTCCGCTACAATTGTGGCAGATTCTGGTTTATGTTTACCTTCGAGAAGTATGGGCTGTTGTTAGACCTCGTACAGATCGCTTCAATGCGACAAAAATTTGTCGTTCTTGTTCCTTCGTACTTGAGTGCTCCCGAGATCGAGGACGCTGTCATTTCCCTTGGCCTTCAGGCTATTATTCTTTGATGCGGAACACCTCTAGTCGTCATCTTTCCTGAATCATTTTCCTGATGTATTTGTGCAACGTATATTTGCTCTGATAAGATCGGTGAGGTGTCGGTAGTCTGCACCGATAACTCTGTTGACGTCTTTTGCCAGAATACGCTGAGAACGCTTGTCTCATGAAGCCTCTGTATCATGTATTCATCAAATAATCAGTGGTCTTTCAGCCCTTCTAGCCTGATCTTCTTTGGCCACATCGACTGTGACTATAAGTACGAAATTATGTGCAATCTGACCCCGTACAGACGACATTGTGTCACGTGACAGACTTTTCTGTCATTACCCGTCTTGTGTCCGTCAGCTCGTAGTCGATTTAGTGGAAGGTCGTTCCATTAGGACCCCGCTACGTCTACTTTAGCTTCTCGGCTTTTTCAAACATGGTATTCAGGACATGAAGGCGGTTTCTTTGTCTAAATGCTGCGGTTCGATCCCCAGTTCCAAACCGTCCAATGAGACTCTGTGCCTCCATTGTTGCCGTTTCTACTATAGCCTTGAAATTTCCTGGAACGATTGTGTTCCTTGACGTCTTTTGCAGTGGGCTTCGCAGCTCTTCGTTGAACGCGACTCCACTTCTTCATCGTTCGCTTGTTGTGCTGGACTGTGAACTTCGATTGTCTTTATTGATCTCCCCTTGTTTGCCAAAGGAACTGGTACGGCGACAGGAGGTGACATAAAGTCGCAACTGTCTACGAGCGGTACAACCCTCCTCCTCACGCTGAATGCGACCCTCTCCGTTGCATCTCCTGTTTGAACTCGGTATTCGTACGCTTTGCTCTGAGCCATGTAGCATCTCCGCTGTTCCACTGTATGATAATTTAACCGATCTTTGCATGTTGCACACGCCGAGAACGTCTTTCCTGATTTTCCTCGTCTCGGTGAGGTATATATCGACGAGTGCGTCTGACGGCAGAATTGCTGTTTTGTAGCTAGCCATGAAGACTGTATCCTTTTGCCGTTTGTCAGTGGCCTTCTGACAATCGCCGAGTCATGAACAATACCATTTTTTTGGCAAGTCAATACAGTTGCCTGCACCTACAGCCCCGGTATTGCTCCGTACGTAACGCATTTGTGGCCACTTTTATAAGTAATTCGTTCGAGTGCCGCATTCGTCCTCCAGAAATGCAGAATAAACGCATTTGGTTTTCTCTTGGATGTGGTAGGGTTCAGTGGGCAGTGTCGAGCCTCTTCGTCTCATCCCACTGGAGATGAACTCTACGGTATATCCAATCGATGCATCACTATGAATGTTTGTCTCTATACTGCTTGAATAACCTGTTGCTGGCTGCTTATGCCAGTGCATAACCGCTACTAGATTCGTTTATCACTCGTCCGTATGCCACATAATGCACCCATGATAACCGTGTTGTGGTATTTTTCCTTAATATCAATTATCAGATATTCTTTGGTCTGAGTTTTATGAATTTTCATCAGTTTTGTCTTTTTTAAATCAATCGAGTGACCTAGATCGAAATACCTTTGTTTTAGAGTTAGGAACATTAATGTCAGGGATTTTACCTCGTCTGCTAGAAATACGATTCCATCCGCAAACGCACGAGATCTGACGCGTATGTTGCCATCTCTTGCCATCATAGTCATAACTTCGCTACTACCTTGAAACTGAAGCACCAGGTCAACGGGCATTGCAAACCGCAGTAGAGGTTGCACTCCACCTTGCTCTACTCAAAACTTTGTATGAAAAAAATTTGCCGAAAACTTACCATCAATTTGCACTGCACTTGACTAAAGATCATGCCTTTTTTAATTGTTTTAATAATCTTTAATGCGATTTTAAAATTTTTACTAACCTTCCCGAAGATATCTCTGAACATTGACACCATGAACAAAATTGCCAAAACTATGATCGTCATTCTGATTTTTTTTCATTTGTATTATTATGAATACATGATTCAATCACCCTTTGTTAGTCACGAAATTCGATTGTTCTTCACACAGGAACTTCTCAAGATGTCTAATCCTGTTGCCAATAAAACGCATGAACAATTTAGTAATAAGGGATAATACATTAATCTCACGGTGGTGGATTGGTTCTGTGCAACAGCTTTTTATGAACAATGCAACCACAACAGGTTCTACCTAGATATCAGGCGCAAAACGATAGGAAGCTTGAAAATCAATGGTTTAATCAGCACAAAGCTTTCGGATCCTTGTAGCGGTTTACTTTGATCATGTCTATAGTATAATCTTAATCACTCTCTGTCCATTTATTGGTTTGGCATTGTCCTCTGTAATTTTGCTGTTTTAATCTAATTATTTTTAGATCAAATTTTTACTTTGCCTAAAATGGCAGATACCGAATGTTCTGAAAGACTAATGATGAGCAACGACAACAGATCGCAATTGGATGAACGCGTTCTGCATGACGTACTGCAACAGCCTGTACTTTTCCAAAGTAGGGGTGAATCAATATTTGCCACAGATGTCGTCCCAATGTCACCTGAGACGAAGCTAAACGGGCAGTTATAAACATCAGCAATGGCAAATACCGAAGTAGAGACGGTGCAAGATCAAAAACCTTTTGAGCAGAAGGAGCAGACTCTTTTCGAAGGTTTTACGGAATGTGGACGGCATCAGCAATAATTCTTGTCGTGAAGGAAGACAGCCTCAGGCAGACCTCATGAGTTATCGATCACTTACACTCCTCTCGCAAATTTAAAAAGCCTTCACCCAATCATTCTCATCCTTTTGGAGGGACGTGGAACTATTCACAAGTGCGAAACAGCCGGCCGGCATTCTTACATGGTTTCCGAGCGTCGATCACATATGCGTAATCCTGCAGGTGATGGAGAAGGGCACGAATATCAAATAACCGTTTGCTTTCATGGACTACAAAAAGACGTTCAATTCTATGGAATTGACGGCCATGCAAAACGCCTTGCTTGAACATGGCATGAACCGTGTTTACGCTGACCTGATCGAGGTATTGAAAGCTTGCTGCGCGATTGGCATAAATCTGTTCAAAGGGCGACGTTGCATCACTGCCGATGAAGAAGTGCGCCAACTAGAGGTCATTGCAACCGGCGCTTTTCGGCGCGACCCTGAAATCACTTTACAACCGGCTAAACCGGTGTAACCGTAGCAGTATTGACGGGGAGTAACTGACTACTTGTTGATTGTACTCTTTTCTCAAAAGGCACGACGGAATCGCACCAGAAGATTCAGCACTTGCGAGATGAATCTCTTACCATCAGATTGGATAATGACATCTCCAAAAATTAGGTGTAAATCAGCGTTGTTTCAGGAGCTTTGTCTACGCGAATGACGAAAAATTCGAAAAAGCCACCAAGTCTCTACCTCAGCCCTCAGGAAGACCCCGTTAACTCGCTTTAAGGAAAAATGCCAGAAGAGTGAATCGACAAAGGCTCCTTTTACCTGTTAAACTTCGCTACTCGATAAGGAGCTGCTGATGCAGGCAAAGAAAAAACTGTTCGATTCAACCGTCTTACCGGCCAAGATCTTCGATGCCAAATTTTGGCTTGTTATTGAAGTAGAGACGAACAGACTGATGATCAAGCACAAAGCTATGGATCGAAGAACGTTGAAGGTCTATCTCCGGGCTCGCGTTTCAGGTCGACAAACTCAACAATGAATTGGATTAACAGACTTGATTTCTGTTTTGCCGATTCGAGAGAAGAAAGGATCCTCGTAGCTCGCCTTGGGAGACAACCGATGGATGTAAAGAATTATAAACGTTCTCTTGGTTGTCCAGGAACACGCTGGGACGATTCAGTGGTCAGATTATTTGGTCAGCGGTGGAGGCAAAACGATAAGAGTGTTAGATGAGGGGAGGTTCGCATCCATGGCCCACCATAGCCAAGGCAAGTCGGCTAATTGATGAGTGACCATTTGACATCTTAATGCTTTCTCTCAGCACTTCCTGATATTGGGCAATGCGAGACTTTCTTTTCAATAGGACTGCTCCTCAATAAAGTCTTCTTATTACCATTGCATGAGAAAAATTCATCTTTGAAAATCGCTTCTATCAACTTCCATCTTGATGTTCATTTCGAAATACTGAAAATTACTAGATGCTGCCATTTCAGCTGTCTTGGTTTGTGTAACTTGACGGCGTCTTCTGAGACGTAATGAACCATGAACCGGCCGGCAGCGATCTCTCGGAGTTCATTACATCAGCTGATCGAAATTCAAGTAATTTACGAGCA